CAACTATTCGTGAGTTAGTTGTTCATTCTTCAGTTTCTATTATCGTTATTTATTTATTATAGTTCTCTCGAGGCAACAAAAACCAATATACTTAAGTATTCCAAATAGCTTTTTTTTACTAATTACAATCTATATTGTATATGACTTAACAAATATATATTATAATTATAAAAATAAACAATATGCTCTTTAATAACTTCTATATTCTAATAACATATTGAGACATATCTCTTTTTATCAAGCTTTCAATTCTGTGTTGTTTTCTTTTTCACTAGACTTTTAGTGATTTCCGTTATTAAGTAAAGTCATCTTTGTGTATTGTTATTTTTTTTGTTCCTGATTTAGTTATTTTCGAATGTTATATATATATATATATATATATAATTGTTGATTTTATGGAAATAAGTTTAGAATGATTCATTTCTTTCTCATTTTTTTTTGACATTTTCTTAAGAAATTTGGTATATCTAATATAATAAAAATCCTATTAAGAATAATTCTTTTGTCATATAAATTGATTATATATGAATTATTTTTCATGCATGTTTGCATTATTATATTTCAAAAATGATTCATATCTTATTAAGATCATTGCTGTTACTATTAGATAAATAGAAAGAAGTAAATAAGAGAAAAAAAAAAAAAAAAAACTAAAAGAGAAAATGGATAAACGTACCCTGTCAATTACTAATATTTCTCTTATAACATACATCAGGATATTTTCGCTATGTTCTATATATAGATTTAGCTGAAGAGAAAAATCATTGATGTTAACGTATTTTTAGATTACTTCTTCATGTTATGAGAAAAATAGAAGAATAATAGAAAAAAAAAAACAACTCCTCAGATCAAATTTAAAACAATAACAACAACAACAAAAAAAAGTCTCATGTTTAGTTGTCGCTTTAGGGAAGCTAGTCATATTTCTGAATGACAAATATGATTTTATTTTTTCTGATGTTGTGATTTCTCAATAAAGGTCAATCGATGAACGAGACACTTTGATTGCCTGTCTTTTTGCTATCAATATCTTCCGAGATTTTTTTCGTATTCTTTATGAATCATAAACTAATATCGATATCTTAGTAAAGTATTTAACGATATCCAGATGTTATTATTATTGATTAAGATATCGTTCGCTAGTATTAATCAAGCATTTTTTAAAATAAATATAGTCATAAGATACTCACGCTTCTGTCATTTTCGTCGTAGTATTGACGAATCCTAATGGAATAGTGTTATGCTGCCGTTGTCTGCTTGGATGCTGCTGATAGTGTGAAAGTGTGCGTGTTGTCTGCTTAGTGACACTAAGTTTCAACCTTTTGTCTTCTAGACGAGTAAGTAAGAAAAAGCAGAGAGAGAGAGAGAGAGAAAAAAAGAAGAGAAAAAAAAAACGAGAGAATAGATGTGAGTACAAGCATGAGTACATGGAATGGAAAGAAAAGCCGAAAAAAATTGCAATTGTCAAGCGTTTAGTTATTCTTTTTCCTTTGCCCTCTATTTTCCTCTCATGTCACTGTCCTATACGAGTTACTAGACACGTTCATCGGTAGAATACAAATATATGAGTGATTTGATTCTAGGAAAAAGAAACAAGATCATATGTTTATCTAATCAAAAAATTGTTCAGAAAGACAACGCAAACAAAAAAAAGAAACGGTAGAAGTTCTTTTTTTTTTTTTCTCTTCTTCAAACAAACGGCTTTACATTAATGTATTTATTAGTGTTCATACGAACGAACAATCAACAGTGATCTATGTGTGATTGTAACTAAATTATACGAGATAATTTCTTTATAGATTGCTGATGTCAACATAAATAACAGTTGCCTACTAGTGGATTAAATAGAAAGCTAAGAACGAATGATAGTTATCCAATAGAGAAGAAAACTGATAATCTTGTATAATTTTTTACAAGGTCTTGTCGTTGGTGTTAAATTACTACTGTTTGACCTTATTTTTTTTATTTCTTCTTATATATCATAATGTACAAAAAAGAACAGTTTTGTACTTGTTGTCTTTGATTAATATTTCGTATGTCTAAAAATTGTCACATCTTTATCGATGCTATTTATAAATACTTGTTATAATAAATATCTAACTATATTAATTATGATGATCATCATGTCAAATTTTGTACAAAAAACAAGAACAAAATTATTGCTGTTGAATTAAGAAAAATTGTAAAAGACATATGGTAGAAATATCTGAGAAAAACAAAATAAGAAATCTTATTTATGTTTGAGATCAATTTCTTAAAATACTGAAAATAAAGAATATAGGAAACGTTTTATTTTTGTTGACATAAAAGATGAAGAACTCAAGTGAACTTGACATATACATAAGATGTAGAGATTTTTATCATTATTTTGTTTGTTTCTATATTATGCTGAAAGAACTAGATAAGACACATACACACACACACGTCAAAGGTTCCATTAATATTACTTGCTTAATTATTTATATTAATGAATATAATTATTTTCAAAACTAATTGAGTTAGTTTCGTAAGTATAGTATATTATAATTTATATTCATTTTAATTAGTTGAAAATTTCATAATTATAGAATGTAAAATTAATATTTTCTTTTGTATAAATTAATAATACCTAGATATAGATATTCAATATTATACTCATCTACTTTAACAGAAATAAAACACTTTTTGTTTTTTTTTTCTATTATTATTAAATGACTTGAAGTTTCAAAAGTTCTACATTGATATAAAATAGACAGACAAAAAAAAAAAAACGATTATAAAATTAATTTTCTATTAGTTTTTAAAATAAATAATAGTAAATATTACACAGATGATTTGTACTTTGAATATATTTTATTTATTATTGATTTAAAATTGAGAAGACCAAAAAAAAAAAGAACAAGTCAAAGTGTCCTTAACATTGATCAACGTGTAGGAGTATATTAGATTCATTAAAAGATTAAATCAGGTTAATTATTATATAAATGTCATGTAACAAGGATGAAAAAAAAAGCACTTCTCGATAATAATTGTTCTACAATCACCAGGAGAATGTATTGATAACGGTTGCCATTGCAACATACTGAAACTTAGATGCAACATATGTTATTTAGTTTTCAACCTTGGAAGGTAAGATTAAACATAAATAAAGAAAATTTTAAACTATAGCAAGAAATAATTATAAAAATTTTTCATTAGAAAAAGTCAAAGATAAAATAATTTTTGTATGTATCAAATATATTACTTCTTGAATTATTGAATATTTAAAAAAAATTTTTCTAGAAAAAATTTCATTTATAGATTATTTTTAAAATAAATTTTTAATTTGATATTTTACATTAAGAAAATTTTCAATAGGATTAATTTATTACAAAAAAAAAACAAAAAATTTCAAATATTTGATTATCTTCTATCATCAGATGCTAGTATTGATAATTTTATAATACAAATATAAAGTTCGCTCTTATATTTATATCTTAAGGCATTAGATATATTAGATAACATTACATATTCATAATAAGAAAAATTCTATTGAGATATTTACTTGTTTAAAGTTCGCACTAGAACCTTGCGGGATAAACAATATCTCGAGTCTTATTTGTTCCATTCTGTGTGTGTTGTTTCTTTTTTTAAATCGTCATAATGTTGAGTTTTTTCTCTATTATGCAAAACAACAAATCTAAAGATATCATTTTGGCATGAAAAAAAAAATGTTTTGATACAGATGATTATTAGATATTCAACTATCTGTTGATGAATATGTCTAGACACTGATAAAATTATTAAGATCTTAGTTATCAAATAAAATGTTTGAAGATAAATAGAAATTTATGCTGTTTGTTATTTAAGTGCAATTTTTTTTTGCGTATGAGTGAAACAATTGATGAAGAAAAATAATAATAAAATTGCTCTAAGGACGCTTTGCACTATATTTTTATTGCGTTTTTTTTTTACGCTCTTGATTTAAGTATTAAAGTATTTGCTAAAAATAAGAATTTTTAAGCTTGAAGGCTCATGTTTTGATATTGAAAAATTCTAATTTCAAGACGTTTTTCTTTTTTTTTTTTGAAAATGTTGTTCCGAGTCTCATTTATGTTGCTTAGAGATATTTTCGGAATGATGTCAATTATCATATGGAGTGCGATTATTTGAGATTCGTAGCATAATTTCATATTGAATATATATAGTAAAAATAACAATCTTTATTTTTATGATCTTGTCATTACAATGAGTTGAATGACGATATTTTGCTCTACTATTCTTTTATTTCATAAGATCATAATTGAAAATATTTTTATAAAAAAAAGAATAAGCAAAAAGTTTCCGTGTCATTGAGTTTATATTAGATGTCAGTGTAAGAGTCTTCAGAAAATGATTGTTTAATCTTGAATATCTATTATCTTTCGATAGAAATAGAAATTTCATTGAGATATTAAAAGTAAAATTACTATTTTAACTAATATTTAATTCTAAACAATAATTAATTATAATATTACAATAAATCAAACACTAAGATAAAGAATATTGTGATTATGAATATAATTATTTTTTTTTGATAATAATAACATATAGATTTTCTAGTTTCTTTCAAATAATTTAACAAATTAAAAAAAAACAATCGCTAACCACAAAAAAAACTAAGATGAAAATTATCATTTGATATATTTTTATCTGATAAATGTCATATCAGTTATGTTAATCAATGGAGATAATTGTGGAAAGAAATCAGACATGATCTCAACATAGAAACCATCGAAAGTAACTTAAGTTTCTCGTACTAGATGTCGCTTATATAAGAAATATTGATTGGTTTCTGATTTCTGCTAGTTTTTACCAATTTTCATAGATCCATGGATAGATTTTTTTTTACTAGAATTATCGAGAAAATATATTCTATGACTCATAGACATAAACACGACTATGAGTAATGATAATGTGGGTGCAACCGTTAGTATTTTCCTTTTTGTTTTACATCTTCGTTTTATTTTTGTATTTTTCTTTTTCCGAAGTTTGATCCTATAATGCATGATTTAAAATCCCTTCAATTAGACGATGAAGATTCATCTAAATATTTTATTAATTATATAAGTGATGATTCAGATGGTATTGGAGATAATAACAATAATGAAAGTGAACATGTTCATTCACCAGATGATCATGATGATATTGATATATCATCATTACCTAATAGTGTTATTATAACTCCAGTACCTCAAGAATTATTTACTAATCAAGAACTTAAGGTAAATATATATATATATTTCTCTTTTTTTTTGTTTTAAAATATTTATATTTATATTTAAAAAAAAAAGGATGAATTTGAACAATTATTTCGTGTTTATGATTCAAATATAATTGTACTTTATTTGAAATTTTTTCGACGTGTACGTATTACATTTACATCATCACATAATGCTTTACAAGCTCGATTACATCTTCATGAATATCCATTTCATGGTACAATATTTAAAACTTATTTTGCATGTGTAAGTCAATATCAATATTTCATAAATATATATGTTATTCTTTTTTTTTTTGTTTTTTTATAGCCGATTGTATTTCGTGGTGCAAATCCTGATACACATTTACGACCACCAGAACCTGACAAACTTTTTCTTATATCACCACCAGCAAGTCCACCAGTTGGTTGGGAACAAAAACTTGAAGATCCACCAGTTGTTGATTTAAATTTAATTGCTGCTATTGCACAATTACAACCAAGTATGTAAAATTATATAGATAATAAAATTTCTTTAATAGAATTTTTTTTTTTTAAAGATAAACCTCATGAATTATTACCAAGTGAACTTGGTTCAAAAGCTCCATCGATTGTTATTCATACATGTGATGATGATGAAACAAATACTACAAATGGTCAAAAAATTAATAAACTAACACTTATACAAACGAGACGACCACCACAATCAGATGAATAAATTTAATTATTTTTTTTCTTCTTTTTCACCGTCGTTCTTCTTTTTTTGTATAAAGTCAAGCATTTTGCAATTGATCATCTCGAAATAAATATTAAATTTACTGTATAATAAATCAAAAATATATTTCTTATTGTTAATAACAATCAGAAATTGAAGAATAAACTTATATTGATTCGATTTTTTTAGAATCTATATAAAAAAAAAAAAATTACTTATTTTAATTAATCTTGATTCATTTAGAATGTAGAGCAATTTTTATGTTAAAATTCAATCTCTATAATCTAGATATCAAAAGAAAAGAACTTAAGAGCATAATCTCTATAGAATTAAAGTGTGAAACATGATATAGCTGTTGTTAATCATCACAGAAACATTGCTTTATTGTTTCTATTTTTGGAATTAGGAATATGCAAGAACAATTTTAGTCTCGGTCACCGAGACCATAGAAAAGAAAAGTTTGTTGTGACTGTAACCGGAAGCACAACAAGACCAATTATTCGAACGAGAACTGATAATTATCATTAAACATCATATGATTAATTATCAATCAAAATATAATTCAAGAGAGATGACTCAAAAAAACGTGATAGTTATCAACTGAATAAATCATCTAGATTAAATTTACGGAGGCGATAATTGAAAACAATTGCATAATTAGAAATTTAAGTGTAGGAGGCTCAAACTCTTCAGTCTATTTTTAATTTGTTTCAAATATTAATCATTTTTATATACGTTGAATTAATATTACGAAATTCTAATAACTAATAGCATACGACGGAAGCTAAAAAGTTTTGTGTGCATAAGGATTATTATAGATGCATAATTAGCTAGTTCATAGTTAAAAACAAAACAAAAAAAATAACTATTTATTTTAGTATAATTCGACTATTGTGAGAAATCTGTTTACTAATAAGCTAATCAACATTTATATCTATATCATGTTCAATTACTAATAAACAAAGATCACTCAAATGGTTTGACTGATATCAGTATGTAATAATGATAATGATGTGAAACATGTTGAGAGTGTTAATAATGATGAAAAAGGTGATGGTCATAAATCAGCTAATTGGATGACTAATATCAATAGGTAATAAAAATAAAGATAGTGATGTTAACGACATTGATGATATATTTGATGTTAACAATGTTTATATAGATTAATTGTGTATAGTAGTTGTATCATTATATATGTTGTTAGTTGAATCAAGTATAGACAATAGAATTGATATTAACACTTTCAATGTCTGATGGTTTTAGGCATAAAAGGATCATTCTCTTTTACTTTTAGTCTAAAATTTGGTCTTAGTTTGTTTACGCCACTAATCGGGTCTACAAAAAAGAAGTTACGAAAATTAAAAAAAAACATTGTCCTACAGATCTCTATTTGAAATACTTTTTTTTTTACCATACTTTTAGTTAATCCTTCAAAAACGTAATACAAACAAGATGATTTGTTAGAAATAATATGTGTGTCATATGTAAATATTGTTGAATACCAAATGAAATAATATAAATAAGTGGTATATGTAATAATTTTTTAGTTAAAATATATCAAAGATAAAAGAAGAAACAATAGAATTATTAGTTTTTCTATGATTAGAAAATAATATGTTAAGATTTTCTTCTTCATTAATCAACTATCAATGATATTCTGATCAATTTCATCGTTATATGTTAAACTTTGACTTCGTTTTTAATAAGTTTATTATTCCTTATCTTTTAATAGTTTAACAGACTTATTATGAATCTGTTCAGACTTAAAAAAAAAGAGTTCTTGTCCATAGGTTGCCATTTGTTTTTTCTTCAATTATGATAAAGTCAATAAATTTTTCGAAGAAGAGCCGATCAGTTCTAAAAATTTCGGGTACAAAATCAATGCGATAGGCTCTAATTGAAGATAACGAGAAGAAGGAAGAAGGAAAATGACAATATTTCGTTGAGAAGCTCACTAAAATTTCCATAACTCAAACAAAAAGATTCATAGATATTAATTGTTTTGAAACTTCTTTTAGTCTTAATAGATCCTATAAAATAAGATAAATTGCATTTTAATAGCAACTAAATATTTGTAAAAGTCAATTTTCTATCTCAAATAAATGTATCATATTATTCTATGTAATTTGATGAATAGCAATCATAAGTATGTATCGGTTAGATAGCACATACTTCTAAATAACTAGATAAGAACATATTTATTTTAGCCAACATTGACATGGCTAGCCGTAATAAAATAGATCAATGATGCACAAGAGACTTATATCTATGCAAAAAAAAACTAGTAATAATTCGATTAGAAATTAATTGTTTTTTTTTTTTTGGTGAAATAATTTCCGTCGTAAATTCAACTATTTATTTCTTTACAATTGAATATGTACTCATACTCACTGATACCTCGAAATCATGTACTTTTTCAGTATTAGTGTTTATATAATAACAACAGAAACAACATAATTTTAATAAAAAAAAGTATCCATATCATCAAAACTTTATTTATGGTTCAATTAGAAAACCATAAAATGAAGTTCAATTGTATATATATAGAGAGAGAGCTCAGTGCATTTATTATTCAAAAATTAAAGATACAAGAATTCCTTTCTCTTATTCTTAATTATAGAATATGGAATGTTTATAAAAAAAAACATATGTTAAACTGTATCTGTAACATTAGTTTTAATAAATGGATTATAAAATGTTAAATAAGCTTGAAGAAATTTTGATATTGTATTCAATTGTGTAATATCATTAGGAAATGTTCGAATTTCTTTTTTAATTTTAATTCGACAAATAGCTTTTAATGTAAGTGTTTGCATACGTAAATTACTTAATTTTATTTTTATTTGTGTCATATGTGAAAGTGAATTTTCTGTATCAATTAACATTTTTTGATCATCTTCATTGATAGGTGGTGATGATGATGATGATGATGATAAATTTAATGTATTCGATCGAAATATTAATTTATCTAATGAAATTTCACCATTTTCAATCATTGATATAAAATAACGTTCAAGACGTTGTTTAATTGTTATTTGTCCAATAATAGTTGTTTTTTGTTTTTCACATATACGTAAAACATCATAAAAAAGAAATATACACCATACTAATGGACGTATTGATGAATCAAATATATCACTAAGACGATATTTAAATAAAAATTCTTTACATGATAATATATCAATTAATTTATATTGTATTCGTGAAACTAAATTTGGTTCACGCATACCATATCGTGTTAATTTACTTTCTTTTCGTGATAATAAAATATGTAAACGACGCATTTGTAATGTATTTGCTTGTTCATATGTATTTAAATAAACTATATCAAGTGATGTACCACCAGATTGATTTTGAATATTTATACATGAATCTGGTGTATGTTCAACAATGAAATCAAATATTGAATCACTTATAGATATTTGACATGCATGATGTAAACATGTTTGACCATGATTATCTTTTAAATCAAAACGTGCACCATGTTTTATAAGTGTATTAAGCATTGTTATTGAATAACGTTTATTAATTAATAGTGAAAGTGGTGTTTGATTATTATATTTTGATAAACGTTCATTTATATCAAATCCATATTGACACATTAATTCAAGTTCTTTTAAATGAATTGGTTCATAAAAATGAAGATCTAAGAAGTTTTTTTTTGAATAAAAACATTGTATAGAGAAAAACAAAAAACGAATTTTTTACTCACCAAGAGTCGCTCCCATTTCAACAAGTTTTTCTAGTGTACTTTGTGTTTGTGAACATACACTTATATGTATATGTTTTCCAGTAATTAATAAATATTGTGGTTTTAAATTACGTTTTAAACGATTATATAATTGTCGACAATCACCTGTTTGTAAACTTCTCAAAAGTAATCGATCTAAACCTGGATAAAGTTCATCAACATTTCTTGCATTAATTGTTCGACCATCAACACGAAATTTTAATAATTGATCAAATAGTTGATCAGGTAATGTTGAACCATTAGGTAATGATTTCATAAATCGATTATGTTGTGATTGTTTACTATTAATACTTGATATGGAAATATGTCCTGATGACATAACTTATGATAAATCGAATATTCTCACAATAATATGTGTGAAAATTTTCACTGTTGTGTTTTTTTTTTAGTTTCTTTTTCCTTCTTTATTCTTTCTATGGTTTCATCAACAATTCATATTAACCCACTGAAATAAAAATAAAAATAAAATTATTTTAAAATCAAACAACATTCGTCAAATTGAAATAGAAAGAACAAAAAAAAAGAAAACTGTAATTTTTCTATTGTTGTAATGTGTGTGTATACTTGTTTTCTCAAGTGTTAAAAAATCCACTGCATACATTAAATTTATTGTAGACAAGTTAGTATAAATTTGTAAAAATAAGAACCATAGAGACACATATTGAAATAGTAGTTTTTTTTTTCGAATGATTTTGCGCGAAATAAAATAAAAACAAAATAATAAACACATTTTATAGTAATTTAAGTGAATGATGAATGTCATTAAAAATACATACGATTTCAAGACACTTAAAGTTACACAGAGAGAACATGAAAAGAAGACATGAAATATTTTGGAATAGTTTGAAAAGCAACTTTTTTTAGAATTGATAATGAAAATTCATTAGAATATATGAAAATAAATATTTTATTTTATCTATTTTCTTAATCTTCAATGACGTTATATTTAATTGAATTACAAATAAAAAAAAAATTTATTGAGTAATCCCTTGAGATTTTTTTTAATTTCCGATTAAACTCTCGTCAATTGCAATATTGAATTCTTCTTTTATAAAAAAAAAAAAAGAGAACTTCAGATAATTACTCAACATATATGGTATATATGTCGTATCGAAGTTACAATTTCAACAATAAGGTTTGTTGAAGTTAGTTTTATTTCATTTATCAATGAATTATTTACTAAATTGAATATCTGATTGCTGAATATATGATGAAAATTTTTTTGCCAATAAATACTATCTATTTAACTATATACTTAAACAAATAGTATTTATTGGCAAAAAAAAAATTTTATCATATATTCAGCAGTCAGATATTCAATTTAGTAAATAATTTATTGATAAATGAAATAAAACTAACTTCAACAAACCTTATTGTCGAAGTTATAACTTTGTCGACCGGTGTAACTTCGATACGACATATATATATCAAACAATTTCGATTTCAATCTATATTCATATTTATCTTTTGATATTTATATAAATATTTATTTTTAAAGATTTATAATAATTGAAGTTTGTTCGTATAATTTAATAAATAACGATTAAGAAATATGTATGCATGGTTTTTTTTTTGTTATAATATAACATTGAATGATCAAGGAATGAATAATTAAGAATAAGAAACAATTATGATACTGACTCATGTCACTTGACACCGAAAAGAAAAAAATCAAAATCAAAAGGAAAAATATAGATGAAATGTGAATACAACATACACCAGATTAAAGACACTCAAGTTCAGTAATTCGCTTTTTTTTTTGCTTTTTGGTTTTAATGCCATGAAAAATAAAAAGAAACACATATACGTTTACATAAGAAAATCATGCATAAGTTTGTGTCAATGATAATATACTCTTATGCATGTATGGTTATGAACAAACAACAATGAAATAAATGCTCAAGACATCATGCACAACAGATATAATATAATAATAATAATAATTGTAGTAGTAGTAGTACAGATTTCAAGAAGGACAAAAAAAAAAGAAAGAAAGAAAAATATAGATGAGACAGAAAAAAAAAAGTAAACTATGCGCATGTGTATGTTTGAAATTTATGAATTAATCACAACCAGGTTGATTTTTTGTTGTCATAATTAACGCAACGATTAATCCATAAAGACCAAGTACTTCAGCAAAAATTAAAATTAAAATCATTCCAACATATAATCTAAATAAGAAATATAAAAAAAAAATAAATAAATATTTAATCAACACATTTTTCTTATCTGTATATTTACATTCTGTTTTCGTATTTTTTTTTAAAACAAAAAAAAGAAAGAAAAAACTAATCTACTCACCGTGGTTGTTGAGCTGTTCCTCGTACACCAGCATCACCAACAATACCAACTGCAAATCCAGCTGCCAATCCACTTAATCCAACTGATAAACCAGCTCCCAATTGAAGAAAAGCTCTAAAAATATTTTTTATTTAAATAAGAATTTATTTTAAAATCTTTTTAGTTTTACTCACTTATAAAGACCATAATTGTCTGTAGCTATATTATTAGCAATGAGTACAGCAACGACAAGACCATAAATAGCAATAATACCAGCCATAACAACTGGAATGACACTTTTCATGATAAATTCAGGTCTCATAACAGCCATTGCTGAAATACCACAACCAGATTTAGCAGTACCATAAGCGGCACCCAATGCTATAAGCAAATAAATAATTTATATTGTTATTGAACATGTAAGTATATTAACATACCACTAAATACAACGGCTGCAGTTGCACCCATAGAGCCAAAAAAAGCCGAATATGCTGGACATTTTTCAGTTACTCCTGGCATGATGATGATGAATGTAAAAAGATACCTAGAGATTTACGTTTAAAAAAAAATTGAGAGAATGGAAGGATCAATGATCTACAAATAAGAAAAATAATTATTTTCTTTTAAAAATAGGAAAAAGAACAAAAAACAAATTATTCACGGTGATATTCTTATTTGAATCATATGATGGTGGTGCACTCATAAAATAGACTACCTGTAAATGTGTTCGAATGCAATAAAGATACACCTTTCTTGTTTTTTTCTTTTTCATCAGTTACTTATGACAAAAGATAAATATCATATTCACTCATGAAACAAAATTTTATCGCTTATCAAATTCATGTATCCCCATTTGTTAACAAAATACCCTTGTACTATATTTATTTTTACATTGAAATTTAAAATAAAAGAGTAAATATATAATAATGTTTAAAACATGACAAATAGTAAACAAATAAATAAATCGAAAGATGTTAAATTTTGTTTGAAAAGAAAAAAAAAACAAAAAATAGTAAATAGAAATTAAATAAATCAAGTAAATAGTCTATTCAATTTTTCTATCATACATCCATTATTATTAATTATGTTACTGACCCTCACCATTTTCTATTATATATTTCTAATAATTAAGTTTTACAGAAAAACTATTAAAAAATGAACACAAAAAGAAAAAGAGGAAGTCTCATACATAATATATTATGAAATCAAATATACATATACACATATTCATTAGTAGATCAAAATAGAGGACTGAAAGATGAATTTGATTGGTCGAAATGATAATTGTTTGCCTTTTTTCTCAAAGAACATCAAAACATTTTTTTTTCTACTTAACAAAAGAATATCAAAGTGATTTATTATAAAGCAATGCTGTGTTCCGAAAAATTTAGCAGGAAAGGATTGATTGTTCTAGCGTGGGAGGGAGAGGGAGGAAAGAGTGTCAAGAGACGGTAATAATTTTCGACTCCGCAGTACATCTTCACTACAATCACATCACCATAGAATAGAAAAGAAAAATTATTCGCTGAAAATTCTATCGAATACAGTTTTTCTAATCGACAACAGCCATCTATTTATTGTTTTCTGTTTTTTTTTTCTTATTCGGTGGTACGCTGAGTCTAACTCATTGGTTAATTTCAAACAAGTTATTTTACTTCTCTGTTTTGTTGTGTGATATGAATTCTCAATCCTTCATCAAGGTACATGACTGATGTAATACATAGCTTAAGATCATTAGGTTTAATGTGTCTAATAAAGTATGATGAAGAGATTTTCTTGTATGATGTAATATCAAGCATTGTATAATGATTGGCATGCATTTGTTACTTTAAATGCTTTTCGTCAAGTCTTATGTGTCTATTTTGTTGCTTCTTGATCATTAAAAAACCTATATATAAAAATTTCAATTTTATAGAAATTAATTTACTAATTGTTTTTTGAAAGATGAATTTCATGTCTTAAAGTTTATTGATTTCTGAATTCTTCACAAAAAGAAATAAATAAGATTTGAATCATAGTTAAAGTTGATCTCGTATGACTTTATCATGTGAAAATCATCATGATTTTTTAAACTTAAGTCTTATAGAATCAACTTGTTCAACAAATTTTCAAAAATATAACATCTCTCTTTTACTAATGATAGGAACTATTTATTTATTCTCAATTAAATTGAAATTCTTCTCGTAATATTTTAAATGAAAAATACATATTTTGATAGTCCTTAAAGAGAAAACCTTGCCGAAATAGCTGTTACAGATTTGTAAACGTTCATGAATAAAATATCAATCCAATATTATTTCATTTTTTTCTACTTTTCTACAGTGTCAATAAAGAATTTCTCACTTCGAAGTTATTACTTTCTTGTTCTTTAAAAGAAAACAAAAGGAATTATTTTCTATCTTTTGTCTAATTTATGTAATCGATTCGTACTAAGGTACATTGGTTTACTTTAATATAGCAAAGAAGAATTTTTATTAACTGTATATACTGTCTGTCATTTACTAATATTTTTTCAAAATCAAAATGTATCTATTACCTCTGGCATTTTCATCTAGTTCTTGACCTATTTAAGTACAAGTTCAATTACTTAAAATGTTATGTCTGAGTGTCGCTTTTCTCTTCTCGAAAGTCCATCCTTACACATTCTTCGATTTGTTTGTTGCTTTTGATTCACATCATTCAATAGTCAAAAGTATCATTAAGTGTGAACTTCTTGAATTTTTTTCAATATCAGATATAATTAGTTTCGTAATGACTGTTTCGGTATATAATAAAGAGAGAAATCGTTATGAACTGAACATATTAGAAAAGAATTCGAAATCGATTCGTTTCGATTTTAGTCTCGAATATGTACTTCATATGGACTTGTTACATGTTTTAAATATAAAATAAATGCTGATGATTTCGAGCTTTTAGAAAGATTTCATATTGTTCAAACGATAATTTTTCATATGAATTCATCATATGGAGCATTGTAGATAAAATGGGACATATCCATTTTTCATTCGATTTTGATTCTTTACAGAAGTTTTGTTTTTTCGAATAAATCTTTTCGACAGTAAGATATGCAAAATTTTCACTTTTCAGCTGATAATTAAGAAAAATTTTATATTTAAATAATCCAAAATTGATCAATGAACATTTATGTAATCCTAAGGGGAAAAGAATTCGAGAAGTTCAGCAGATACTTGAAGACAATTTAAAAATCAGATTTCTTTTTACAAAAAAAAAAACGACTATTTACCCCCTGATCTCTGCTCCATGCTGAAAACTACATCAATTAGAATCTCAATAGCATATTCATATCAACAGTTCTTCCGATAAAACAAACGAATCATTAACCAGAACGTTTAAATTGTCGACAACATCTCGAAATTCATGGTTCAAATTATATTTGTATTGGCAGAAAATTTTTCAATATACGTTTATCCATATGAAATAATCATAGACGATCAAAATGTACACTATCTTTGCATTGAAGGCATATATGTAGAACCACTTCGACAGTAACTCAGTTATATATCTTCATCGCGGTACAATAAGAAAGCGACCGCACAATGTTTCTTATACACGTCGTTCAATTTATTCATCATACCATCTTAATTATCATCATTCACGATTTACTTCTTTCTTTATTCTGTTCAATCATTTCCCGCAAATGACTTTGGAGTTCGGCTCTGATTGTGTTGTCACGGAGATTCAGCGTGATGATCATCTGTGTGAAAAAGCTTTATCGTACAATACTTAACATAACAAAACAGGGAAAAATAAGATTAGTTAACTTATATGAGAAAACAAAAAACAAAGACATTAGATATTACAACAGATAACATATCAGGAGTGACAAGTGTCGGTAGCTGGATGAATTATCATTTGATAAAATATAAAGTTCCTTGTAAGTAAGTGAAAAAAGTTTCCGAATATCTGCTTGAATGTTTCCTAGCGCATACATTCAGTTTTTTTTTGTTTTCATTTAAATCATATGCATGCTTTCAATTGATATGATATTTTTGTATTCTATGCTATTATTCATAATATACGTTAAATGGGTTGCATAGCTTAAGGATACCGATGAGCTCCATGTTGTATTCACTTGTGTAATTGTATTTAATCAATGCATATTAACTATGACAACGTATCGATTTTTGGAAAAAGGTAGTAAAAAATATTTCAAGAAAAAAAAAATCTACACTGTTTTTAATTAAAAATGTGTTTCTTTTAAGAAGACTTTTATTAAAAGGAATCACAATTTCGAAATCCTTTCGAGAAAATAATCTTCTCTTGTTGAATTATGATCGATTACCTTGAGTTTTGTCGAATATCAATGAAATTCGGATAAAAATCAATCATAGTCTTGGACGTCTATTGAGCTTTCAATCTTGCACTGTCGGATTAAGGTATCCCAATTAACAATAATCCATTATTTTTACTAGCAAATACATTACGGGACGAAGTGTGTAAAAAAAACAAGGGTGGGATGTGGATGTGGATAAAAGAACAAGCTACACGCACACACTCCACATCCACACCCAACGTATTATAAATCTTCATCATAGCTGTACAATTTGTTGTTTACACAAAGAATTGAAACAAGTGCACTGTGCTGAATGTAATGGCAAAGCGAACTAGTTAAATTAATTATACACATACTGTTTTTCTACCATGATTGTGAATGAAACTATTGTGTATGTTTTTCTTTTGAACACATTCGAGACTTGCTTTTTTCTTTCCATTCCGTTGCAACTATGAGCATAAAACCAGAGAGAAAGAACATGAATATAAGTTTTGGAGAAGAAAAGAACAAATTGATGAAACAAAGAAGAAAGATATTAGTACATATGCCAAACATTATGATTTTATTGTTCTTATACAAGATTAACACCATACATGTGACTATAGTACAAGACTAAAAGAAATGTCGCTGAAAATGGGTGTGGATGTGAGTCTGAAAAACACCCACAACTGCAATTCTTCAAATAACTAGATAAATCGACATGACCTTATGTTAACAATATTGTCCTAATCAACTTCATTCTTATCATTGGTGTTTACTGGAAGCGACACCAGTGTTATATGTTTTTGAGTGTAAGCAGATAGTGATTGATCTTCACGTTGTTAATATTATTGAAATTTTTGAATTATTTTTGAAGTGCAAAACTAACTGTTTTTTATGTTCTCAAAGAACTAGTCAAATACGCATAAATAGATCTTGTAATAACAGCGAAAAAAAAGAATGAAATATAGACAAGAGCTGAAATGTACGTATAACATGATCAGAAATTAGATCTTAAATATCTTCAAAACAATGATCATTTTGTTCACTTTCCTAATAATGATGGAATTCAAACATGAGACTCTATTTTTAATTGAGATATTACATTAAAGAGAAAACTATTACAGTAATAGATGAAATAATAAAAAAATATCGTGTGACAGTTCATCAAAAAACTTTAGATGGCTTTTTAGCAAACGCACCAGACTACTTTGTGTTAGGTGGCAGTTAATCGCCCTTCATCACAACTGTCCATGGTAGGATACAATCTTATATTCTTGGAGTGTTGCTCCAGAGAGTACTGACGTATTAGTCATCAGCATATTAGAATGACTCACAGTGTTTGGTATCAGTTTCAATATATGCTGTTCAAATATCTAAATTTAACGGTAGGATAAATATAAAGTGAAGTATAGACATTTGCATATAAAGAAATTAAAACGAGCGTACAACACAGGATAAATAGATATAGAATTCGAAGATAATAAAGCATGGACAACAGATGTATCATCAGACATTACAAAGAGTGTTTCACGAGCTGCAATATCGAGTGATGCACAATTACCTTCTGCATTTAATATGAGCACCTAGTCCTCGTAAAATAAAATATGCAAGGACATCGTATGATGATACACAAATCTAACGCGTAATGAAATAATATTGCAATCAATTGACGTAGCCATAATTTGTGCGAGTAATAGCAAGAATTGCTGGAATAACATTCTGATGTGGCAAGTTCGACAATAAACATCAATAAAGCTCAGCCAATAAAAAAAGTTGTTAATATCTAGATCAACCAAGTCAAAACAAGACTGATAGATGATGGTAGTGATAACATCGAGCAGCAAGAATAGATGCCATAAACTAAGAGGAGAACTATCTAATGAATGAACAGAATACACAATAGACATGCGATTTGATACACTGTTTGACTGAATGATAACTATTGATTGTTGATAATTGTCTGATTATTCAATATTGCAATGATTCCTATGATAACAAACATTAGTTTTACATAAACATAGTCTTTTGTTATCACATCTTCATCGAGTACATTATGTATATTAATGGAACAGTATGATTCGACGCGAGTTCAATGCAGTTTATGGGTTTGGTGCTAATACCATATGCTTGAAAGTACAATTTATTCGCCAATAGATGTCGATGTTCTCAGTTCAATCAAGCAAGGAACATCGATCAAATAGCAGCTAAGTCACTATATATACACACATAGGATTGAAGTTGTTCTATTTAAAAATTTAGATTCATTATCATACTGTTCGTTAATATCAAATTGTATAAAAAATACTATAATAACAATAATTTTTTTATATGTAAAGATCTTCAGACAAAGAAAAAAAAAACAATTATTCAATAGAAATATATCAATCAAAAGAAATTTTTCAATAATTTATCTATCAACATCTTCATAAATTCATTGTTCTTTAATACTCATTGTTTTTTGTATAATAATCTATCGATGATTTATATTAAGTACTTTATATGACCAAAAAAGTGTTATCGATTGTTCGATTCTATTTTATGGATTTTTTATTTTATTAAGTTTCTATCGAAAAGATGACTTTTTTTTTGCACAATTGAATGAAACAATTCGGATTTTTAACATCATCTAGTCAATAGTGAATCTAGAATTTTGAGAAAGAGAAGCAACAAAATCGATATAATTACATTACAATATTACCAAATGAAAAGAAGTGAGAAATAAAAAATTGTTATACATATAAAACATTCAATTTTATTCCAATCGACATGAAAAATTTTATGTTCCATTTAATCTCATGTTATCATATCAAAAGTAACAATTTTTGCTTATAATTAATTTTCTTTTATTCAAAAACAAAAAAACAATAACTCTGACAACAAAATATATGACAGAGATTATTTATTATTTGTATGCTTATATTATATATATTGATTCTATTTTAACCAACAAGTCCACTACGCCATATACCAGTATTTATTCGATGATTTTTCAATCCTGTTAAAGTTTTTTCTATTGATCGTTTTCGTCCTGCTAATGATTCCATAGGTCGACGATTTAGTGAAGCCCATTTAAAATAATTATCATCATCTGAATCTAAAGTATCACGTTCATATATTTTACTTTGTTCTTTATTTATCATTGAATTTATTTGTTGATTAATTGATGAAACAGTTGCTGAATTTAGATATTTATAAATTTGATTTTTTAATAATAATTGATCATCATCATTATTTATTGATTTACGAATTATATCATATAAACGACTTCTATAATTAGGATTTGAAAAAACTAAAAAGAAAAAGAAATTTCAATAATGTTTTTAGCTTTATTTAATTCATGCAATTTACCAGAATTGATAAAAGATAAAATAATACAAATGAAATATAACATAATTATAAGCTTCATCACTAGTAATATTGTTGAAATATGAAGATAGAATTCTTTTTTTTTTCCTATTTAAATACCTAAATAAAATAAAAAATTTTTGAGATTATTTATAAGATCTGGTTGATTAACATATGGTACGAATGACGTACATGAATGACAATTATCTTTAAGGTAAAAGTACGTCAATCAGTATTAATACTAATTGATCGTATATGAAACACATGTCAATATAGATTTTATGAACAGAAAATAAAGATATAAGAAAGAACTTTTAAGTATTTACTTCCTGTGAAATGATGCAAAAAGAATAGATTAAAAATAGATTAGTTAAGATTTAATATAGATATTTATTTTAATAATATAATTTTGATGTTTCTAATAAGTAAAAATGCTATTTTCTGCATGATAATACTCATTTAATTATAGCAACGATAAGTTCAATCAAATGTTTTCTAATATTTTGCTTTATCTCACATACGTAACGTAGGCAGATGATATAATAGTTTTTCTCCTCTTATCCTTCTATGTGTATAATCTTGTGTTACCTATCTAAATAGACAAGAATTTCTGAGAAAATGTTCTAAATACAATTCCTGTTTGAAGAGTAGATCCAAAAAAAAACACAACTAATTTCATTATAAAGAAAAAGTATCTGAAGATATTTAAATAACGCTGCTCTTGCATCTGGAAAGCGTAAAAAAAACATTTTTCTTTTGTTTCTTTCTCAATATTTTAATATGCATTGCAGATAAAAATAACCTTTTTTATGCATAATATATGTATAAAATATTGAAAGAATACTTTTTGAATGCTTTTTAAATATGCATGTTACTTTATTTCACTCTTTCCTATCCACCTTTTCTCATAATTAAAGTAGCTAATTTGATGTTTTTCTCAATGGGCAGAAAAGTATTCGAAGAGAACTAACATCTAGAATGTTTATAAATAGACTTTCAGAAATTTCCATTTGCTTGACATATTTTCTATTTTTCTTCAAAATAGAAATTAAATATAGAGTTTAGAATAGAAAGATCTATATGTCTTAGTGGTACATCATTGTACTGCCTCATAGAATGATTGTATAATAACACAATGTTTGAAGATTTTTTCCGATGATTGACGATAGCATCTTTTGGTTTTCAAAAGCATCACTAAATCTAGACAAAATTAATAATTTTTATTACATTTCCAGATATTCTATAAGTCGTTTGTAATTTGATTTGAACTCATATAAAAAATAAAAATTATAATTTTATTGTATGTCAAGAATGAAAAATATGTAGTCTGTATGCAGTTATAAAATATCGTCGGATGTTATTTGATCGAATTTTTTTTAATACAATGAGTTATAAAAACTAACGTATCTATCTCAGAATGCTTGTTAAATGAGTGTATCTTTTTTTTTTTAAGTTGAACACTTCGAAAATTTCCAAACAAAAAGACTTTGCTTCTCAACATATTTGATTAAGTGATATCAAATAATTCTTTAGCTGTCTTACAAATCTTTGATAAAATGTTTACTGAATTTTTTTTCGAGCAGTCAAGAATTTTGTAAAAATAAGTTTTAACGTTTTAAAATACAGTTCTCATTTAAGCGTATTCATGTCAATTTGGAAAATACTAAAACTAGCTGTTATCATCACAAAAATGCATGAATATATTTAAAACGGTAATTAGTGCAGCTAGAAAATATATAAAACTTCTTTTCTGCAATATTTTAATTTGCTTTATATATTCACACAACTGTTTAATGTGTAGTATGTGGGCAAAAAATTGAGAGAAAACTATGTGAACATTTTCCATATGGAAAATTTACATTTATTAAAGCATTCCCACGCACTTTTTACAATTAAAGTAGTTAATTTTGAAGATTTTTTTTCAATACAAACGTAAAAATACTGAACCAAGCAACTAATTTAGGACATTTAAACATATTTTCAAATATAGTTTTTTGTCAAAATTTCATTGTTCAGAATTCATAGGTGTTCTATATTTTCTCAAATTCAACAGCGATTTAAATAAAAACTACTATTGTCGAATTTCTATTAAAATAGAAATCACTATGTTTTGAATAACTTTCAATCTTTTATACCTATTGAAGTGGAATTTTCGCATCAAATAGAGCAATGTTGAAGACACATAGCTACGTGTAATATCCATGGGTATGTTCAGATGAACATCTTCTCTCTTGTCCATTTCAAAAACTTTTCACCACAGTCTAGATTCAAATAACCCCAAACTACAGTTGGCTTTTCGGGTGATATTTTAGCGTAATTTGAACTTAGGATGCTACGAACACTTGTAGAAATAAATATGAAAGAAGATGTCTGTTTAAAAAAATGTCCTGCAAACTTAAAGAGTGTTACACAGAAATTGATAGGTAATATTTCAATAAAAATTTGGCAATAGTTATGTATTTTTCGATATTTTTCAGTCTATTATCATATTTATTGTTATAATTCATTATTAATTATCATTTCCAAATCAAATACGTGTCTTTTTCAAATGTATGTATTGTAAATCAGTACATCGCGTCAGGATTATCGAACGAGTAGAAAATGAAAATATATTTGTTCAAATATGACTAGAGTCTTTTAACTGTTCATATTTCATGCTACATTTAATATTATGATTTTTTTCAAACGTTTAATTGAAATTATCCTGTCGATTACAAGCAATTTATCAAAAAAATTAACAAGTAGAGGTTGAAAGTTCTCACGCCGGAATTAGCATTTCCTTGTTTTGTTAGAATTTTATCTCGCTTAAATTTATAAGAAGATAAGAAGTGGTTTGTTGAATAATAACAAAAAGAGCAGAAAGGCATTGAGGGTTCAAAAACTATATTTTCCTTTATTATTATTATTTTTCATATTTACATGTATATTAATCATGAAATCCATACTTGCGTCAAATAACCGTGGTAAAAACAAGAAAAAAAAAAACCGAACAGACTGTGAGTATGTCTTGTTTTATGGCAAATATCGCAAGGCTATTTTTCGAAGTACATAATAAATAAGGAGCTAATTATTGCATTACGCTTGACGTCATTCATCGGCACTCATTTGAACTTGCGTGTTTCTTATCTGGTCAACACAATCTCATATAGAATACACCTCTATAGGTAAGCAATGCGTTTATATATATTTATAGACATGAATAAGTTTAAAAATAATATTGAATAAAATTTTGTTTTTTTTTTTTTTTCTTCTAAATTTTCAAGAACAAGACCTTCGTTCTTTTAAATTATGTTTTCATTGAAATCTCGAAATCATTTAATTTAAATAATCTTATTAAAAAAAAAGATTTCGAGAAATTTTAATTAGATTTTCAAATACTCAGAAAATCAAAATTTATTCATATTACATGTTTAATGGTCTCGTCAAAAACGGTTCAATACAATCAATTTGATTCTTACATCAATATGTGGATGAGATAAACAGACATAAAAATCACTATAATAAATAAATCGATTGAGTTGTATTCATTATCAGATAAAGACAAAAACCGACGATAATTGTATATGTAAACGAACGACTATCGTCTTACTGTTATTATACCACAGTATACTAATAATTATTTGTTTATAGGCTATCTACTACCGGTACTCAAACAGACAACAGTATCTCAAAGCAAATTTAAGTATTCCAAGCACAGTTTTCGTTTGAACATCTTTATGTCCATTTAGAGAAGGTCAAAATTATCTATTTTGCATCGAGGTGCTATAAAAAGGCAACTGTCTGATCTGGCAAAATGTTCGAAAACTTTTTTCTTCGTATTTTGAACATGCACCATGTAGAAAAAAAAATTAATCTTGTATCTGTCAAAGACATTAAAATATCGCGGAAAAAGAAAACTATTTTCTACGCTCTCCTGATGCAAATATATCCATTTTAAGCGTCTTCAAGCACTTTTTATGATTAAAGTTTGCCGATTTTGGTAATTTTTCAACGGATATGAAGATGTTTAAATGCTTTTTCACAAATTCACTTCTCGAAATAGAAGATCCTTTCATATTAGAAGCTACTGAACTTCTATTATGTTGCGACAGTTTTAGTTTTTTGAATAAAGCTCTGAAAATTCTATTCGATTCGTCTTGGTATGAAAGATATTTCACCAGACATTAAATTGTAATGATTAGAAATAATCTATGAAAACGAAAATTTTCGGATACTCGGCTATTTTAGAAGGTTCGAAGAGTTCTCATGTTACGAGTAGTTAAATCATTTATTTCTATTTTAACTTTTTACAACTTTATTGAATAAGTGTTCGTTAAAAAGTATTAAAGCCACTTCTGTAATAGTTTCGTTGAATAGACAAATATTCAAGCCATTCGATGACGAATGTAACATAATAACAGTCTGTAGTTAATCGTTTTTATATGCTTGATTAGGATGATTCTATATAAATTACCATTATTTTTCTCTTTCGTCTAGTTTATTTTTAAAAACAAAAAATCATATAATAAATCACACACGCATATATAAACTTAATGTACAAATATTGAAATATTCATATCAAATAAAAAATAAAAAAGATAATTTATTTTTGCTTACTAAGTACTTTACCATCAAATGGTTTAAGATCAAGTTTAAGAATTGAATTATTTACTATATAATTATCATTGATTAACCAATCAATCCATTGACCATTATTATACGGAAAATTTTTTATTTCATAATCAATTTTTCTTTTTATTAGCAAAATTTGTAATTATAATAATATCTTCATTATTGTTATTATTCGATCTTGTATAAGCTAATAAACGATGTTCAATATTTTCATAGAAAAAATTTATTTTATTATATTTTTTTATTTATTTAATATTTTATATCGTAATTCAATTAAATGTTTAAATATATTATATATCATTATTATGACAAGTTAAATAATTAATAAAATTTTTTGCACTAATAACATATTTAAGTTGATCTAAATCAAATTTATTTTGATTAATAAGTATTTGATAAATAACATCATGAAATTTTGATGACCAACATACATCAATAGAACTATTATTTTCTTTAATAATATTTAATGTTTGAGATATATCTTCAATTTGTGTAAAAAATGGTTGATTTTGATGAATAGATCGTACTACATGATCTAATTCATGTAAAATATTATTATTATTATCAATTTGTTTAACTAGAAGAGAAAAAAAAAGATAATATGAAATGAAAATTTTCTATGTATATTAACCCTTAAGAGCCGAAATGGCTTCCGCTTATAAAAATGAGAATCTAATTAGAAAAACAGAGATTATGGACCCTCAGTATACTCGTACTATAGTTAAAAATAATTACCTTCTTCTTATTCTGAACCTACGCAACCTCCTTTGGCAGGAATATCCATCCCTGTAAAAATTCGAAAAAATAGGAATTTCGATCTGAAACTTTGCCTTTAGATAGTTTTGATAATACTTAATATGCTCCGAAATTTTCACTTAGAACGGATGCTTTCTTGCTGAGATATTCAAAATCCAAAAATCAGCTAAATTTTGCTAAAAATTGCTAAAAACTTCAACATTCTGTATCTCGCGAAAGAAACAACAGTCGTTCCTGAAAATTTTGAAACTTCCTAAACACTGCTAGGGCTATGTATGAGCCAAGTTTCATGTTAGAAATACATTGTTTTGATTATTCTATGAGGTTGAATGTCTCACCGAAGGAATTTTTTATTGATCACGGCACAATCTGTCAGTAGATCGGTTAAAAGATTCTAGAACGCTGACATTGAATAGCTTGATGATAGGCTTAAGAGTATAACGTAAAATAAACTACACTGTATGTCGCATTTCCGAATAGATACAACTTTAGGGAAGAAAGGTGTTATTGAAAAAAAGTCATCAGTCCTAAAAGGTGTTTTACTACGCCTGACAGCCACCTGAATACTACATTTTGGTCTAGGTATGGCCTCGAAAGTTATATCAATCCAGAAAAATATTGGTTTTTGTCTACAACATTTTTATAAGACTTTGATTACAATTATTTAAATGCCCCTTGGAAGGGACATTCGGCTCTTAAGGATTAAATTAATTTACTAGCATCGAATCGAATACCATCAAAATGAAATTCTTCAATCCAATATTGTATTATATCTCGAGCATATTTAACAGCTGGTTTTATTTTTAATATTTCATCATAATAATCATAATTAAATCTAGGTCCACAATAATAGGAATCTTTTCTATGATATTCTTCTTTATGATACTAAATAAATAATACATTCATTAATGTAAAATTTTTGTCTTTCTAAAGTAATTTAATTTCTTCTATTTAATCATTTTTCAACTAATATAAACATATGAACATTTTGATAATACCTGCTTGTTATCATATGTAATGATAACATTAGATCACATATTATTTTCCATATGTAATTCTTATCGTTGTGTTTTTTCTCTAGGATTTAACTGGCTATACATTTTGCAGGTATACAAAAAATAATGACAATAGAACAACACCAAAAAAAAAAACGAAATACAGAAACATATTCATCAAGTCATGATGAACTGAAAACATATTTGAATATTTTCATATCCATTTAGAAAATATCAAAACTAGATATTTTCATTATCATAAAAGAAACTTTTTTCATATCATTTCAGTCATGCACCATGCATAGAAAAGTAATTTTTATTTAAAAAATATATTAAAGTATTGCAGAAAGAAAAAAAATGTTTTTACATTGTCCAGATGCAAAAGTTGATTTATTTAAATGTCTTCATGGACTTTCTATAATTTTTGCCTGCTTTATAACGTGAGTGATACCCTTCTTTTTTTCTTTTTGTTCGATAGACATTAAAAACAAATTGTAATCGAATCCTATTATCATATATATCAAAGCAAACAGCTCTCAATCGAAATGTTATTATTATCATATTACTTAAAGAATGATTAAATATCAGAGACAAAAAAAAACAAAAATTTCTTTAAACTTTTTATACTGAATTAAAAATAAATTTTATTTATTCAATAATGTTTATCAATAGATACAAGTGGACAAACTGAACTTGAATGATTAAAAACTCTACCCGAATACTATGTTTATGACATTCATCAATAAGTTTTTTTAGATTATTTTTTGTTCCATAACTTGTTTTTATAGCAAAATGATGTGTTGGAGTAATAACCCCAATCATGTTCATGACCCATATAATTTTATTATATAATAAAACAAAAAGATTAATAAAATAAATTCAACATATTGTTTTTTTGTTTTTTTGGAAATACCTTGAATAGGCAAGAGTTTAATAGCATTAATACCAAGATCAATTAAATAATTTAATTTCGATAAAATACCTAAAAATTGTCCATTTTCAGTAAAATCAGCAACATAAATTTCATAAATAATTAATTGATTATTTTCAGGTAATTTAATATTATCATATTTTCATTGATATTTATCAGAATATTTTTTTCTATTTCGTATTGTTATTAAACCATGACGATGTTTAAGATCATATTTTTTCTACATCAGGATCAATAACAGTTGTTCAATATTTTTTCGCAATACAAAATTTATATTCATGTTCACCATCATTTATTTCTACAGACAATAGTATTTCAAATATTCCTGTATTAATATTTTTTTATCATTGATATATATCGCCAATGAGCAAATGAACTAACAAGATTAACTTCAGCTACTGTTGGTGCAAATAATGAAAAAGGTTTTGATGATGATTTTTTTTTCGTTTGATTTTGATGCATTTTTTGAATGATTTAATGTTCGAATAAATATATTACTATTTATTGTTGAAAGATGATAATGATTAGATTTAATTGAAGAAAAAAATCTATATGAAAAATTATTCTTGTTCAATAGTTGTATCATGTTTTACTAAGAGTATCAGCTAATTATTGAAGTAATTAGAATTAAAATAGATTTGATTTCACATATTTCCTTCTTATTTCAAGAATATAGAAAATCAAAATTTTCAATCGATCATTGAATTTCTTTTCAGTTAATATCCTATTCATACATTTAAGAATAGAAGCTTTTGATTTTTATAATAAAATCCTAAACATTGAATGAAATTGTCAAATCATAAATAGTTTCAAAAAAGCAATATTAGCATAGTAGAAGTCAAATGAAGCAACTCTCGATTCTTCTGCTATGAAAGCTATTTGTCCATGTTACCTTGATATCATATTATATGATAAAGATACTAATCGAAAAGATAAACTCTTAATATTCTCTCATGATATTAACATAACGATTTTTTTTTTATCTACAATATTTTCATTTTGAATAAACCATATATATATATCCATTAATATTTACTAAAATGAATACTAAATTATGCTTTTTTTTTTCGAACTCAAATTAGAACATAGCGACGAAAAAAAAACTAGATATTAAATACAACAAAATAAAACTAAATATGAAATATATGTTCAATAGAAAAAGAAAAGAATTTAATGATTACAAATTTATATTAAGGTGGCATACGAAGAGCACCATCTAATCGTATAACTTCACCATTAAGATATGGATTTTCAACAATGGCTTGTGCTAAACGAGCAAAGTCATCTGATTGTCCAAGTCTTCTTGGAAATGGTACCATATTACCAAGTATAGTTCGAACTTTTTCAGGTAAAGCAGCAAGCATTGGTGTATAAAAAATACCAGGAGCAATAGCACAAACTCTTATACCCATATTTGATAGATCTCTTGCTAATGGTAATGTCATTGAAACAATCGCACCTTTTGATGCTGCATATGCAACTTGTCCTATTTGACCTTCATAAGCAGCAATCGATGCTGTATTTATAATAACACCACGTTGTCCTTGAGAATTTGGTTGATTATCGGACATAACATGACATGCCCAACGTATAACATTAAATGTACCAGATACATTTACATTAATTAGACGTGTAAATTCATGAAGATCATGCATTAAACGCTGAATATTCATAAAAAAATATATACTAAATAGAAACAATTATTTTACATCGTTTTTTAGTTATTCTCACTCTATTTATATTATATGTTCGAAGAGCTATACCAATACCAACACAATTAAGTACAACATCAAGTTTTTCATATTGTTTTTTGATTTTATTAAACATATCTTGTATTTGTTCTTCATTGGTTACATCAGCAGGAAAAAAAGTTGGTGTTTCTAATTGAATATTTTGATCTGTTGATAAATAATTTGATAATGGAATATTCATATTATTTTTGTCTTTATTATCTTGATTTAATTGTGACTATAAAAATATTCGAAATAATCAAATGAATTTAAATTTTATTTTTATTAAGAATTTTTACAGTTAAATAATCTTCAGATTTATTTAATTCAGAATTAAATGAAGATGAAACTATTGATGACCATTTATCAACAATATCATTGCCTTTAGATGATGGTAAATCACACATGATAACACGAGCACCTTGCTGAGCAAAACGTTTAGCACAAGCAAGACCTAAACCAGCTGCACCACCAGTTATCAATGCTACTAGACCATTCATTATTTTAGTTGATTTTTATTATCTGAAATATAAAAGATGAATATTTCTTTTTTTTTTTGCTGTTTTCGAAAACTATCATAAATCATGTTTCTAAGGTTTCGATAGATTCTTTTTTTTTTTGTTATTTTCGCTGTTTTTTTTCTCCTTTTCAATGATGAATGAATATCATCGTCTTGGTATAAAAAATTTTAAAAGTATACGTCATCCTGGACAAATTAAACTTACATTTGATCTATGTACTGATGATATATCAGCACCACAATATGTATCATCAAAAGAAAATGATACAAATCAAAAAATAGAAATTTTTACTAATAATAAACTTAAATTTGATTATATTCCAATAAAACAATCAACTAATAGTTGGTTTAAAAATTATCAATATTCTAAAATATTCATCAATATTCTCTATCTATTTTTTCGTATATTATGTATCATCTTAAAATATACAATTTATTTAATATGGTATCTATTAAAAATTTTTCTATGTATAATATTTCGTTTACTAACCGAATCAAAATCATATGATCCAAAAACAGTCATATGCCATCCAATTCGTTGTTATCATCATTGATTGTATAACTAATAATCTGGAACAATTATCATTATCTATTCGATTCTGTATCTATCAAATAGGTGGTTTGAATATGATTATATGAATATTAATACAAAAATATAATCATTTTATTGTTGATTATAAATATAAAAAGATAGTTTATTTCTGACATTGTATAAAGAAAATAGTCGACAGATGTCGCTGTTAATCATACGGAAATGATGTATTTCAAATATTCTATGCAAATCATTTTTTAAAAAAAAAATATTGACCTGTGATTTTTGTATGAAAAATGTTAAACATAAAAATCAAATCTAGAACAACTATGCTTATATCGTAGTGTTAAGAGTCTCCTCAAGTTCAACGAAAGTTAGAGTGGATTGAAATAGACAACTCATGTAAAAAAAGAACGATATTCTGATTTTAATTAGATTATTTGATTCATTATGGTTTTGAATTACGATAACCATGCAACTCATGTTTTTCGAGTTTTAACCCAAATATTCGAATTTTTCAAATTTCACAGCTCAACAAATGGCAGAAACAATATTAAACAAACCTTTGACACACATGTCATACATCGAGATATAATATCATTTGATGCAAAGTCATGAAAAAAAATACGATAGGAGTGTGCTTAACTCAATTATCTTTTCATTGAGCTAATTAAAAACTAGTTTGCACATTATAAGACAAATTTTATTTGATTTTAATCGATTCTTTTAACCAAGTCGATGAAAGTCAAACTTTTTTGCCCTTTTTTCTTGCAATAGAAAGAGCATCTCCATAGATTGATCCTAAATATCAAAAATCGAGTAACTTTTCTTATATCACAGCAGCATCTCCGTCGATCAGAAGAAATTAAAACGAACTTTATGATTCATACTATATTAATGCACACAGACCAGTCAACGCTGTACTGATAGCGATCGGATCACTTCTGATCGCAGCTTTTTGAGCACCAAAATGCTAATGGTCGTGTTTCGAAATTCGTAATTTTATAATAATTGACTTCTAAACTAACTATTGTCAGCGCCAAAATGAAGTAGGATTGAGTGTAAGACAAATATCTCTACAACGACAATAGCTAGTGATCTCGGACTTTCATCAATTGAGAGAGACAGTATCTAATCGTGTTTTTATATGATATTATTTAAAATAAAATTGTCGTCAAGCTAATCATTTGTATTAATATTTCCGAAGAACGTAGAGTAATGTAATTTAGTATCAATGAAATTTAGAATTTGACATGCATGTTAAGACAGAGGGTGTGGCTGTTCATTCCTAGGCATGAACACTCACCGTTATATCTATTTTATGCTCATCCTTAGAATCTGTTGCTTCAATGTTACTGGCAAACCACTCAGTTAGGCGATTTGAACTTAATATTGATTGAAGCAGAAACCTACAGATGATTATCTAGTTTTTGCAGATTGATTGTGATACTTACTTTGAATTTACATATAAACGAATGCGCATGGCTAATGCCCAAACGCATCTACGTAGAGATGCGCGGATTGAATTCGTAATACTAAATTCATCGATCACGCTGGGCAGATCATTTACACGCAGTGATATTCAGACTTTGGTCTATCAAAGTCTCAAATAGCTACACTAGCGGATAGCATGCGCAAACAGTGAGAAAATAATATACTTCAATAACTGTGTACGTTCTTGTACATGAAAAAACAACAATAAGGAAAATTAAACTTATTATTTATTAAGTGATCGATTATCCTAACCACTTTTCTGACGAAATATCTCATTCATAATAGCATATATTTCTGAAAGATTTGCTAAGCTCTTGACAAATTTCTAGAATTACTCTTAACTTTATATCACGACATTAATCAAATTTTAGCATTATGGCAAATGAAAATTTTGTGATTGAAGTTCATCATTTGTCTCCTATGGTCTATCGAAATATTGCAGTGAGGATTTCATTCTCATTGCTATCGAATGAGTCAATGCGCAAGATAATTCAACTTTGTCTTCGACAAACTCAACACAGTAGAGAACAAGTTATGCGTTTTACTTATATCATACTTAACTTCTCGACCTATCTTTCCACTCATTACCAACAACTTTGTTCACTCCAAGCAGTAGTCAGTGTGATATTGAGATCGAGGTTGTCCGCAATAGTTACATCCAAACAATATAATATACAACACAGCTGGAAGTATGTGACGTCGATAGGAGTACGTATTAGCATTGATCATAATTTCAGATACGGAACGGATTCACATCCTTATAATACCAGCAAGATTGCCAATCGATCGTAAGTTTCCAATATTCTTTAGCTTTTAAAAATTGAAATGATATCAAATGTATGTTAGTAAACGATTCAACTTTGTTTATGACTTTAAAGTTTATTATGAAGAAGAAAGATTCTTTCTGAATGATTATAAAAATCGAACAAATGGTATAAGTCATGAAATATCATTAGTCCATTAATTTGTCCATTACTCTATTTATGCCATAGTTCAGTACATCAATTACTTTTCGATTTGTCGCATATAATTTAAGAGCTAGTTCCATCGCTTTTGTATAATACTCCAATGTTGTGCTATACAATGTTAGATTGTAGAAGACAGATCCTATTGCTTGATAAATTCGAACTAATAAGGGGTATTCATTATTAATATTTTGAACAATCGTCTCAGTCTTGTGAAAATAAGTTAGAGCTTCATCGTACTTCTGTTGTGCATTGTATATAATCCCAAACGTTTCAAACGTCAACCCAATATCGATATTATCCGCAGATAACTCGGTTAGTCGTAGATCGAGTGCCTTTCGACAGAGATATTGGGCTTCCTCGAATGAACCTTGAGCGCATTTAACTAGAGCAAGAGCGTTATACGTAGACTCAAATTGAAAATGTTCTCCATCAATATAGAAATATCGTAAAATAGTAAGACTTTGTTGAAGATAGTCTTCCGCTTTATTACAGTCATCCAATCGATAATAACAAAAACCAATGTTTGTCTTGAGTTTAGCTAAAACTGGATTATTTAACTCTTCGTGTTTATGAAAAATAGCCAAAGCATCTTCAAAGTTCTTGACAGATTTATCATAGTTGAGCATTGATGCATATGTACAAGCTAAATTATTATAGGATGATACTAGTGATGGGTGTTCAGGCGACAAGCAATGTAATTGAACTTCTAATGACAATTGAAAATATTCTATAGCTTGGTCAAGTTTTCCTTGCTCTTTATAAAGTATTCCTAAATTATTGTAAAGTGAACTTAGTGTTTCGTGATATTTCGGCTATGTTTCTTTTGATATATCAAGAGCCATATTTAAATATTTGAGTGCTGTTGAATAGTCATTTATACTTAAATAAGCATTGCCCAAATTCGAATATGTGACAATAAAACCAACCGAATGATCTGAAATTATTTCTGATCTTATGTTTATTTCTTTTTCGAAATAATTAATTGCTTTTCGATATAATCCATTTAAAACATGCACAGCAGTGATATTGCCATAGGTAGCACCGATGAGTTCCTTATTCTGAGATACAGATTTTTGATTCAGTAGAATGTCAAGCGCTTTTTCATGGTATGTTATTGACAGACTGTACTTTCCTAATTCTCGTTGACACAGACCGATGAGGGAAAAAAGATTGAACCAATCGATGTGAAGAGGTGACAAATAATAGTCATAGATAGCCGATGATTTCTCGTAGCATGTTAAAGCTTCCATGTATTTACCACGATTACAATAATTTTCTCCAAGAGCATTATATAAATGGCCGAGTAAAATACTATCTTTCTTCGAAAATGTTTTCAAAAGATTAACTTCAATCTCCAATGCTTTCTCTAAATAACCACCTGCAACTATGAAATCACTTTTAACATGACCATAAACATATCCTATAGCGGCGTATAACTTCCCAAATCGAGCATCAACTTTCGGCAAATGCTGACGCCATATTTTTTTCAGCTTTACGATAGTAATTTAGTGCCTCTCTGTGGTGATATGTTTCAGCCCAAAGTTCACCAAGGTTCAGATATGAATACTCAAGTTTAATTTGATTCACCGGTTCTTCTTTTAAGCGTTGTTCAATAGCTATTTCCATTAATTTAGAAGCTTCAGCGATTTCACCATCATATCGATAGATGATACCCAAAAGTTCATAGCAATCAGCTATAAAGGGATGATCGGATAGCAGATTTTCTAAACAAATTGTTAAAGAGTTTTTACAATACTCTATAGCATCATGATATTTGCCTTCTTTGAAGTACATTGTAGCGATATTGAAATAGATTATACAGATCGTTGCGTTACTTAGTGATAAAATTCCTTGAAATATTTTTAGAGCTAATTGTAAATAATCGGTTGCTTTTTTATGTTCATCCTGCTGGCGATAAACAACACCTAAAGATATGAATGAACGGCCGAAAAGATACATTTTGATTTTGTGCATGTCATTGTTTAAGGATCCATCTAATTTCTTGTCAATCGTCAATATAATTTTATGTAGCAATTGTTGTGCAGTTTTGTAATGACCATGTAATACGAGTAGTTTTGCAGTATTAATGAATACGATTAGAAAGGTTGGTAGGCAATTAAATGAAATAAATTTGATACTTCGTTTATAACAGCATATCATGGAATCAAAGTCCATATCACCTCTTGCCGCTTTTTAATTAGCATATTTGTTGAATAATATAGCAGCGTGAATCCTACTGACTGGCGGATTTGCTCGAATAATACGTTCAGAAAGTTGAACTGCTTGATTTATGTTTCCCATATGAAATAAACAATTAGCATAAATTTCAGAGATTGGATAGCGGACATTCAGAGAATATGGTTCGAAATCCTGAACATGATTGATTTCAGGTAAATTTTGATTAATGAGTGTTAATTTTATAATCCAAACAGGTTCGCCTCGTATAACAGAGTCAACTCGAAAAATACTCCCTAATGCAAGAAGAACTTCGTTTTCATCCTTATTCCAACTATATTTCGTAATGTCGGCAAATGGCGATGAGCATGTGCCAGTTTGAATGTCAACTTCGAAAAGAATCAATTCAAGTTGAGGCCGTTGAGCACATAATCCTGAAAAGACTAATGAAACGTCTCGATTGGTCGACGTGGATAGAAACGTATTCATCGATATATAAAATCCTTTATTCTGTTTCAATTGATCGAACTCACGGATGGACACTAATTGACCTCGATAAACCGTTAGTGTGTAGGAAGGCACGTCTAATTCTATCAAATCTTCAAGATAATCACAGTGAAGTTCGACTAATTGAGTATGAAGATCAGCAAGGATGTAGCGTATTTCATACATAAAATCAATAGTTTCAGCTCGAAGTATTTTGTTCACTAGTCAAAATAGAAACGAATCCCATGTGTACCATTTGATTGCTTCTTCCGATCGATAGTTGAGTTCAAAATAAGTAATCTTATCTTGTTCGATCGGGTCATTTGCGTAACATAATCGACAAAGTTTAATTAAGTTTTCTTTCGCTTCTTGAGACTCGGGAACATTGAGAAGAGTTTCTAACATAATCTGGAGCCACATAAATTTTACCGATTGTTTTGTCAAGTCTTTACTTGATTTGCCACTTTCTATTGGTAAAGTGACTATGTTGAATTTGGTCGTATTCTCAATGCAATATCGAATATCATCCGTCAATTTAATTAATAAATCTTTTTCATTTGTAAAGACACCACGAATCTTTTTCTGATCATTATTTGGTACATATGATGATGAAATGACGTAGAGAAAAGTGATTTGAATTAATGAACTTGCTTTTATAAGAATGTCTTTATCATCGAATTCATCGATCGAAATTATGAGAATAATATGATCGACTTCAGTAGTTAATATATAATCAAAACATTCATTGCCAGCATCAAATGTTTTCAAATAAGGAGTAATCGATCGAAACTGAACTCTTGCACTCAGACTCTTATCAAAATAATAGAAAATTTTATGAAGCCAAATCAATTTGAAATTGTCAAGTTCTTCAATACTTTTCGATGGCAATTCAGATTCATGAATGTTCTTCTCGTTCTCCATT